CTCATAAGTGAAGAAATCTGCCTAGTATATAAACATAACTAATAGAATTAAAAAATTCATTTTAAACAAATGACAATCGAATAGAATAAATTTAGTTTTAATAAAAATTCATTATTTTTAAGTCAAGAAAATATATAATCACTACCATATCATATACTAAAACCTTCTCCGAAACAAGTTGCATCTTATGGTATAAGTATTATTCCGATCGGTTCAGTACTTTTCGCAATATAACAGGACAAAAAAACCGGCTTTCCATTTATTAGTATAGATTACAATCTAACAAATTAATTTTTTACGGCAACAGACTGAAATTATTTAGAATAAAAATGATAATACTAAAGTTAGTCGATGTTTTTAATTTATTTTTAATAATTAAATTAGAACAAAAAAATATTTTTTCAAAATTGCACTTACAGTTTTTAAAGTTTTTTACAAATAAGATTTTTTTTATTTTTTTTGTAATTTTTTCAATAAAAAAAAATTCTAAAAATTTTTAGATGTCGGCTAACTTAATTTTCATATAAAAATCACTGAGATAATATGATTGTAAATCTAGTAGACATACATTTAACTTTAGAATTAAATAAAACGAATAAATAATAAAAAATTGTTAATTTTAAAAAAATGTATCTATGTAGATTTAAAAATTTTTTACGTTAAATTTAAACGTAAAATCAAGAAAATATCTATTTGTTTTTTTTTTTTTTTGCAAATTACTGTTGGTACTATTCTTAAACTACTGATTGTCAAAGTCATAAAGTAAAAACCGAAACTCATAAATTAAAAACTAATGGTTGTTGCAGATATCACCATTGTGCTTAGCCAGGTAAAATTATACCTCCAGGCAGGTACTAAATCACACCCTGTCTTTAACTCAGATAGTTAATCCTCTCTTTGTATCTAGTCTATTGTTAGTTGGATACTTTTACCGGTAATCTTTGAAAGCGTGTAATTAAACATCAACAAAAAGTATTCTTACGTGTCTAGGCACAATGTATTGTTGGTACTCATTAGAATTACTATTATATAACCTATTTTTCTGTACCCATGCCACCGAATCTAAATAACGTTTCATCATTACGTACAACATGTCATCGTTACCAGCACGTTTGAATTTTAATCCTTCTTCGAACATTTTTGGCAATCTTTTTGCTACGTCCTGGATTTTTTTATCCGACAGATCAACCTTTGCTCTCGCGTTCAGTTGCTTTATGTACGGGTGTTCATTGTCATTCGCCATTATTTATTATAATAGTTTTATGCTCTGTAAATAATTATAAATCTTGATAAATAATTAATTTTAATTTGAAGGTTATTTTGATTTTTTAACGTTTACTTACGTTTGAAAGCTTAACAACACAAAAACTTAACAGGAATGTACACTGTTTATTTTATTTTAATGATTTAATTATTTGCTGATTATTTTATTAAAAAATAAATACGTATTTACGATAACAATAGTCACTTATTGTTTTTTTGTTATAAAATATATATGAAATTTACTTAATTACTTATTTCATAGTGAATAATCTTTCAGTGTGTAGTAGTGAAAGAAAGTGTCTACTAGGTTAATAGAAAACACAAAAGATGGCGCTAGTGGGTTAAAATTGTGGGAATTTAAATGTTTTAACCAAGGCCTTTAATAAAAAAAAAAAAGAATTTAAATGTGTTATAGATTCTTGGAGGGATTATTGTTATAATTTAATTAAGTAATTAACTTATAATATTCCATAAGAAATAAAATTTTTTATGGTTATATAAGTTTAAGAGTGACTGTGAATCTAGCAGATAATCAATAATTATAATTAATAAAATACTAACAACCAGCAGTCACTAATGTGACTACATCAGAGATTTACGAATTATTGATAAGAAAACTTAATAAGAAAATTTAATAAATTTTAAAAATAATAGTGCTATGACAGGACCATTTAAAAATAATTTATTGGACAAATGTGACGGAACAAATTTATATAACTATAATATAGTATTCAAAACTTCTCCAAAAACTTAACATAAAAAATTGACTATCACTGAAAAATGTATCGAATCGTAAAAAAGACACAAATTCTAATCAAGACTTTTCTGGTGATACCAAATTTAACTATAAAAATTTTTTTCTAAATAATAATATGCGCGTCACAAAATTTTCCTTAATCTCTTAATTAAAGAAATTAATTTTTTACCAATAATCTCGTTCACGTGTACAAAATAAAATAAATAAATAAACGAATGACGTTTATCGCATAATTTGAATCTATTTAGAATAACTTCGAAAAGTTATCATAATAAATTAGCTATTGCTGAAAATCATATGAAACATTAAAAAAGCTTAAATTCAGGTCATGACCTTTTCAATAATACTAAATTCAATTGAAAAATTTCATTTTATCATATAAATACGCAGGAGACAAAATATTCTCTTAATTATCTAGATTATAGTTATTATTAATAGCTATTGTTCATTTGAAAAAAATAATTTTAATGGACTATTTTGAGAATTTTGAGTTTATAATTTTTGGGAAAAAGAATTTCGTAACGAGCATCATGAATTTTTCACGATTTTCAATTTTAAATTTAAATTTTCTAAAATCATTATTTCTCTTGCATTATGAAATTAATAAAATCTTGTGGAGTTTTAAAAATTAGAATTCTATGAAAAATTTTATGATTTTGTAAAATTTTATTCTGGGAATTGTCTAGTAAAATTTGATAAAAATTTAATTAAAAAAAAAAAATCATTTATCGCAAAATTTGAATCTACTCACAACTACTTCGAAAAATTACAATTGATTATATATCTATTGCTGAAAACCATATGAAACATTGAAAAGGCTAAAGTTCAGGTCAAGACCTTTCCTGAAATTTATGAAAATAATTGTAAACTCCAACGCTCATTAAATTCAGCAATACGCTTCATCTTCAACTTAAAGCGAGATGAACATGTCTCGCCTTATAGACGTGAACTGGGATGGCTCTCGATAAAGAGTCGTCGAATTTATTTTACTTGCTGTTATTTTTACAAATTATTAGAAACTAGTAAACCTAGCTATTTGCGTGAATTATTTCAGGAAGATCTCAGTGTAAGACGCTCTGAGAGACTAGCAGCCAAGAAAAATAATATCCTCTTTAAGTTCCCAAATTTCAGTACCACTCAATATGAGTCTTCTTTTGTAATAACAGTTATACGATTATGGGAAGAATTACCGGAGGATATTATAAATTCTTCAAGCTTGGAGGTTTTCAAAAACAAAATTTTTGATTATTTATTTAATCTAGATGTTTGATTACAAACTACTATTAATGTTTCTATCTTTTGTTTCATTAATCCTCAAGCTTTAGTAAATCTTCATTATATAGTTTCTTTATAATTTAAAGTTTCATACCTGTATTTATAGTAACATAAATGATTATTAAAATTTGTTAGTTAATTCATTATAAATTAAAATTTTTTATACTTATATAGTATT